AATTCTTATAAATATAAGAGGAAGGATTTTCTTTTTACAGTTCACTGACCAAAATTCGGATTCAATTATTCCATACTAACCCGAGTTTCGGTTAACGAGTCTTACGAAAACATAAACAATCCCGAGCGCCAAACGTTTGAACACGTACTATATATATATATATATATATATGATGATTGTTTTCAACGAAAAGCTATACAACGAGTTGGTTGCGGTGAATCGAACCCAGGATTTTAGAGCCGAAAGTCTTTAAAAACTTACCGCCTACACGTCTTTTAAAGTTTGCTGACAAAGGCAACCATGCATAATCACGAAAACAAAATAAAAAAAATCACTAAATCAAAACTAAAACTTTGAATGTCGTCTTTAAATTTGGAATTTTCCCCCATCACTGTAACTAATGAAATGTTTCACCCTAACTTTTTATTGGTGTAATATTTATAGACTTTCAAGAATTAGAATAAAAAAACTAACTTTACAAAAACACTAATAATAATCTTTCAGTTACACGTTCGAGCTAATCTCGAGATTATGGAAGATTTAGTGTATTGGGATTGAAATTTTCAAACTGAACGGCCAGTATAGTTATTCCTAATTCTGAACTACTGATCATAATACCAGTCGTCACAAGGGTTAGAGCTTTAGGCATTCAAGGTCGCAGCACAACACTCAAACCACCACTAGGTGAGCAAATTTTGAATAAATGGTTGTTAACACTGAACAAGTTTGTTTGTTTGTTTTGAATTTCGCGCAAAGCTACACGAGGGCTATCTGCGCTAGCTGTCCCTAATTTAGCAGTGAAAGACTAGAGGGAAGGCAACTAGTCATCACCGCCCACCGCAAACTCTTGGGCTAATCTTTTACCAACGAATAGCGGGATTAACCGTCACATTATAACGCCCCCGCGACCCTCACATTACGAGTCGAGCGCCCTAACCACCTGACCATATCGGGCCACTGAACAAGTAAACGCGTGTTTACATGACACTTTAAATATCACCTTTTTTTTTTTACAAGTATTACAATTGTTTTAATAATTTTTTTTTACCATTAACCACGTGTGAACTTTATACGGCACTGAGCATTATAAAATGAAGCTTATACAAAAATCACGAGTAAATTAAAAACTCTACAAATTTTAACTTTTTTTTTCTCTACAGACTTCGTAATCCTTTATTTATTTACGACATTTTTTATTTTGTAACCCTGGCACAGTTGTAAACAGCTGTCCTTGAATTTGTAAAATATTGTTAAACCTTGACAATGAATTATTTACGACAGTTTTTATTTTGTAACCCTGGCACAGTTGTAAACAGTTGTCCTT